AGGGAAAGATCTGAACTAGGAGTCAAGAAACCCACGTTCTTACTCACTTGCTTCTGAGCTGTGGGCCCCCGAGCAGGTCTCTGTGTATACTCCGTCTCTCTATTTTGCATCTCTGAAATGGGGGCAGTAATTCATGCTTGACTGACTGTATCAAGGAATCTTGTTGGAGAAGAGGGAGGCCTTCATTTTCCCGTCCGTTTATTAGAATTTTTAATTTTTAAATTATTTTTATTATTTTAATCTGCTACAGGGTACTTGTGCTTATGAGAGAGCGCCAGAGAAGGTGATAAAGCAACCACCAGGTCTGGGATTTAAGCAGTGGTCAGCCAGGTAGGAGTCCAGCCCTTCACCGTCATGCCACCTGCTGGCCCCATTCCTGTCTAGTTAAATGGCCTCATCTCCCTCGTGTCCCTTTGTAGGCTGTCTAGATTCCCCTCCAGGGCTCAGTGAAGTGGGCCTCCCCAGAGGTCCTCCACTCTCCCCTGTGGGACTCCGTTCTCCCCCGCAGGCCTCTGCCGGTCCGTCTAGTAGGCAGGAGGTGCAGACCCTGCACTGTGCTGCACTCGTTCCTGATGCCCTTTGTTGGAGATTGAAAGTCCAGGAGGGCCAGGACTGTACCTTCCCTGCTTCTGGGTAACCACAGTGCACAAAGCCTTCCCCACCCTCCTTGTGTTGGTTGAATGAATTATTGTTGAGACTGTCAGGAATGAATGCTTTGGGCCCCGGGATAAAACTGAAAATGAGCATCCTACCAGAACTTTTCGGCCCTAACCTCCATGCTGTCTTTTTTTTTTTTTTGAGAGTTTTTTTGCGATAGGGCGCTTGCGCTCGCCAGACAGACAGACAGACAGAGACAGAGAGACAGAAAGTGAGAAATCACCCCCCAGGGGGGATGGCCACGTCGCAATCCCTTCTCCTCCATTCTCCTCTTGGGATCTTGGGCACGCACGCACACGCGCCCAGTGTGAGTTTAAGCCACCGGGTCCGGGGCGCGAACCGCGGTCGGCTATGTGGGAGTCCAGGACATAGCCATTACGCTGACTGCTGGTCCCCATGCCGCCTTTTTAACTTGCTCAGTTATGGGTCTGATGTTATCAGTTGCCAAATCAGATATGGCAAGAGAAATGGGTAAAGTGCACTTCTTGGCTCTGTTTACTTTCAATATGAGGAGACTTCAGAAATTTCATGCAAAATGCCTATCATTAAAAAAACTATACCTGGATTTCCATTTTTTTTTTCTCTATAGGGTACTGTGCTTGTCAGAGAGGGAAAGTGAGAAATCATCCCGGGGGGGGGTGCGGGGGGGGCAGGTGAATGGCCCTGCTGCATTTCCTTCACCTCCACTCTCCTCTTGAGATTTTGGGCACATGCACACACACCTGGTGTGATTTTCAAGCCGCCGGGTCTGGGACTGCAAACCGCAGTCAGTCACGTGGGGCTTAGTGCCTTAACCACCATGCCCTGCTGGCCCCTCTAAGAACTTTTATAAGGAGCCTCTTAACTGTACGCGCAGTGTGTCACAGGAACCAAAGGGGGTCACGGCCGCCCTGAGTGTGGTATGTGTTCCTCCGTTTGTCACCATTCTAGCGTGCGGAGGCCTGTCTGTGTCCGGCTTGTGAGCGTAAATAAAAACCGCACATTGTCTGGTGCGCATTTTAGCTTGCTTGCTGTGTAGAATTTGCAAGGTGGAGAAATAGACGCTTTAGGCTCTGATTTCAGCCCTGCTGTGCTATGCAAATGTTCTCTCCATGCCTGAGTGACCTTTTGAGAAAGAGCCTTTGTGATCTTCTGTAGCCAGGGCTTGTTCTGGGAATCGTGTGCCAGATTCCTCTAAAAGTGGGAAAAGTGGGTTTGTTCAGGGACCACATAAATCAGCCAGTGCTTTTTCTGGGCAAACACCGATAAGTGCATGTTTCTTCCCATCTCTTGCCAGAGCTTTTGAAATTTGCTCAGCAGTTTGCTTTGCAGGTTGATTTGGGGGATGAAGTGTGTGAGAGGAATCTGACTGAGGCAGTTCTGTAGCTGGGAAACTGTTTGTTTAAGTGCTTTTGAATTGCAGATAGGAATAAATTCAAACTGGCATTATTAGTATCTGGATGTTTCTCTTTTTTTTTCTCTTCCGAGTGATTCTCAAGCCAGATCAAGAACATTCTGTTTGCCCCAAACTGCTCTGACAGTTTGACGTTTGAATGGTTTCCTATTTGTCTTGATTATTGTACAGAGAGAAATGTATCATTATTAAAGGTATGATTATAAAACACCTATGATTATAAATAAATACCATTCTGATGTATTTCTTTTGGAATGTGATACCAATGTCTTAGGAGTTTTGTGATTTTTGATGCTTTTACTGAGATGGTCTGTTTGGCTGAAATGGCTCAATGAAAGAAAGTTTTCTTTTGATTTTTTTTTAACCTAAGAATTATTTTATTTAACTTTATTTATTATTATATCATTATTATTTTTCAGTTTGATCAAAGAGAGACAGAGAGAGAGAGAGAGAGGAAGTGAGAAAGCAAGCCACCAGGTCCAAGACTTGAACCATGGTCGACCATGTGGGAGTCCAGCGCCTTTAACCACCACGCCACTTGCCAGCCCCAGTTTCTTTCTTTCTTTATTTATTTTGGAGAGATTTTTGCTATAAGACCCATTTGTTTGCTAGAGAGACAGAGAGAGACAAACAGAAAGTGAGAAATCACACTTGGGGTGGGGGGGATGGCCGCGCTTCAGTCCCTTCTGTGAGGATCTTGGCATGCATGCACACGGGCCTGGTGTGAGTTTTAAGTCGTCGGGTCCAGGACTCAAACTGGAGTCAGATATGTGGGAGTCCAGCAACATAACCATTACACCATCTGCTGGTCCCTTCCCTTTCTTTAAATGGCCTTTTTGATAAGGGCCATCATATTTGTACCAGGATAAGGTTATAGAGTTAGTCATAATGTTTTCCTGTAGAAGTTCTAAAAATTGGGTTTTCAAAGAAGAGAGGCAGAATTGGAATGACTGGTGACTTCCTGGGCTCTTCCTCTAAGTCTGGGAGGGCTTGTTCTCCAAAGATGGTTAGTCTGGTAGGTAGGTGTTCAGGACACACTCCTCCCGGCAAGGACAGAGGACCCGCAGAAGTCCCGTGGAGAACGCTTTCTCCCCCTGGTCTTTTGCCTTGGAGGAGGTATCAGTTGAGCAAAGAGGGGTGGTTCCGTTTGTTTATTCGTTTTGGTCTTTAGCCAACTCTGTTGGGTTGAGGGCCCTGTTCTGTATTTTTATAGTTACACATGCTCTCCTGTGTCTTTTCTTCCCCACCCAGTTTCCCTGGAACCTGGGCTCCTGACGACGCAGCGCTGGAGCAGATGGATAATGGAGACTGGGGCTATATGGTGAGTGATTGCTGCAGAGGAGCTTATTTTTGTGTACCTTTTCCCTCTCATGTATTCTTCAGTATGATATGTCTTACAGGAACGAAGTCATGAATTTGTGCAACCCCCCTTTCTCCTTTTAATTAGTTTAGATTTTTGTTTGTTTCTCTGTAGTACATGTGCTCACTGGAGAGAGACAGGGGGGAAGAGAAACCATCCCCCTGGGGGAATGGCCATGCCTCCTCCCTTCTTCTCCCTTCTCCTCTTGGGATTTTGGGCACTCATGCACATGCGCCCAGCATGTTTTTCAAGCTACAGGTCAGGGACTCAGGACTGGAACTGCACAGTCAGCCATCTGGGATCTGGCCACCTTAACCTCCATGCCACGTGCTGGCCCTAGGTGTGTTTTTGGTGTTTGTTCGGTGTTTTAATAGAGAAACTCAATATGGACATTCCAAATACTTATAACCTGTTAATGGAAAATAACGTATGTTGCGTTTAAAGCTCTTCCATCATGGAATGGTGACTACTTAAAAGGATCTAGTCTGTAATGGTATGGAGGACACTTTCTTGGGGTTAGAGAGATTACTTGTGGAGAAGATGCCTCTTTTCCCACTTACACTTTGCGTATGCATGTGTCTCTGTATTTTTTGTTTCTTTGGTAAGAAATATTCTACTTGCATAGTACCTAAAGTCTGTCTGTATTTTGTCTAAAGATGATTTCTTTTTTTTTTTTGGAGAGATTTTCACTGTAGGGCGCGTGCGCTCGCCAGACAGACAGAGAGAGACATAGAGACAGAAAGCGAGAAATCACCCCCCAGGGGGGATGGTCACGCCGCAATCCCTTCTCCTCCATTCTCCTCTCGGGATCTTGGGCACGCACGCACACGCGCCCGGCGTGAGTTTTTTAAGCCACCGGGTCCGGGACATGAACCGCGGTCGACTACGTGGGAGTCCAGCGACATAGCCATTACGCTAACTGCTGGTTCCCTAAAGATGATTTCTAAAACCAAGGTCCATGTTATCAAGAGAACTTTGCTTCTCAAAGTTAAAAGCCGTATTGCAACATTAATGTTACAGATTATGGAGATTAATGCTGCTGTTAGCCTTTGAGTACTTGACAGTTTTGTAGCCAGTTGTACTGACTAAACTGTAACTTTTAACTCAGTATTTGAGAATGCTATATCTGTGAGAAAATTATCAAGTTTGCACAGATTTTTATTTTTAAAATAAATTTAATGGTTTGTCACCCCCCCCTCCATTTTTAATTGTGAGAGAGTCCATGTATATGGAGAGAGCCAAAGAGAGAGAGAGAGAGAGAGAGAGAGAGAGCAAGCGCACTCACACATCCCACAACAGGGTGTGGTCACGCTACAATTCTTTTTCTTCTGTTTTTCAAGACATTTTTTTTTTCTTTTTCAGAGAGATTTTTGCTATAGGGCATGTACCCTTGCTGAAGAGACAGAAAGTGAGAAATCACCCCCTAGGGGGGATAGACATGCTGCAAACCCTTCACCTCCATTCTTTTGGGATTTTGGGCACGTACTCACACGTGCCTGGTGTGAGTCTCAAGTCTCTGGGTGCAGGACTCAAACTGCAGTCGACTCCATGGGAGGGCAGTGATGCACCCATTATGCCCAAATCCCCCGTTTTCCAGGATTTTAAGCACATGTGTGCTTAGTTTCTCTTTTTTTCTTTTCTTCTTTTTAGTTTTGCTGTAGGATGCATGTGCTCCCCAAAGAGACGGGGGTGGAGTAAGAAATCACCCCCTGGGAGGATGGTGACTCCTCAGTCCCTCTCCTCCATGCTCCTCTCAGGATTTCGAGCATGCATGGCACGCACCTGGTGTGCCTTTCAAGCTGCTGAGTCCTGGACTTGAACCACACAGCCAGCCATGTGGTATCCAGTTGCCTTAGCCACCATGCCACTTGCTGGGCCCCAAGTTTGTTTTTCAAGTCTCCATGCTAGAATTCAAACCTCAGTCAGCCATGTGGGAGATCCACGTCCCGCTGCCAGCCTGCCTTCTTTTTGAATGGAGGAAAACCCAGTGAAATATTGAAAATAGATGTCTTTACATTATTAGATAATTTTTATCCTATATTAGGTTTCTTTTTTTTTTTGGTGAGAGGGCTTGTGCATTCAGCAGAAAGGGAGCGGGAGGAAGCACCTCTCGATGTGATTGTGGTCACACCACAACCCCTTCTCCATTTCTCTACCCTGTCAGGATTTGGGGCACACATACCTCAAGTGTGTTTTTTAAGCTGCCAGGGCTGGGATTTGAACTGTACCATCAGGCATGTGGGAACCTCGCTTCTGGAACTACCAGGCCAAAGGGCCAGCCCTGTCTTATGTTAACTTGGGTTAAGAAAAACTGAAGTCTTTTTTTTTATTATTAGGAAAAAGAAAAAGAGTATAATTTAGGCTGGTCTTTCCCTTCTCATAGCATATTCTGACCTGGAAACTCTGTAGATATTGGCCCTGAAAATACATGGCCCGAGAAGTTATGTTCTCCAGTTTAGAGAAAGTCTTTACAGATTGTATTTATCCGTTTTTTTTTTTTTCTATTGCAAACAAATGTAAAAGCCCTTCACCTGGGTGGGTTTTCCATTGAAAGTGAAGTCATTTTGCATTGTTGGATTGCTAGACATTATGGCCCGGAGGAATTGTGTACTTGGCTCATTGCCATGAGTTTTCTTAACTGTGAAAGTTAGAATTTTAAAAATTTCAGGTGACTGATCATGTTTTAAAACTTGCAGATGACTGACCCAGTCACGCTAAATGTCGGTGGACACTTGTACACAACGTCTCTCACCACATTGACGCGTTACCCGGATTCCATGCTTGGAGCCATGTTTGGGGGAGACTTCCCCACAGCGCGAGACCCTCAAGGTAATTATTTCATCGATCGAGATGGACCTCTTTTTCGATACGTCCTCAACTTCTTAAGAACTTCAGAGTTGACCTTACCCCTGGATTTTAAAGAATTCGATCTGCTTCGGAAAGAAGCGGATTTTTACCAGATTGAGCCCCTGATTCAGTGTCTCAATGACCCGAAGCCTTTGTATCCTATGGATACTTTCGAAGAGGTCGTGGAGCTGTCTAGTACTCGCAAGCTTTCGAAGTATTCCAACCCGGTGGCCGTTATCATCACCCAGTTAACCATCACCACCAAGGTCCATTCCTTACTAGAAGGCATCTCCAACTATTTTACTAAGTGGAATAAGCACATGATGGACACCAGGGACTGCCAGGTCTCCTTTACTTTCGGACCCTGTGACTACCACCAGGAAGTTTCTCTCCGGGTCCACCTGATGGAATACATCACAAAACAAGGCTTCACGATCCGCAACACCCGAGTGCATCACATGAGCGAGCGGGCCAACGAGAACACAGTGGAGCACAACTGGACTTTCTGCAGGCTGGCCCGGAAGACGGATGACTGATCGCCAGCCGAGAGAAGTTCCTGGACCCTGACTCTCCAGGAAATGGAAAAGGCTGATTTTTTTTTTTTTTTAAATCACAGTGTGGGATTTTTTTTTTCCCTTTTTAATATTTGTATTTATTTGAAGGCAGTGAGGACCAGAAGAAGTTTTGTGCTTTCGCAGACTCCTCCATGTTTTGTCCCCTCCCCACCTGAGTGTGCATGTGCCTGTTCAGAGTCTCCAGATACCTTTTTTATAAAAAGAAGTCTGAAAATCATTATGGTATATAATCCACCCTTAACAGAGCTTTTTTTATTACAGTGCTAAAATGATTTCTGATAAAATGGTCCTTAACTCAACTAGAAGGCTGGAAATCCAGGAATGAAAGAATGAGCAGAATATTCACGTGGCCTTTGAGAAACATCAGAGCATCATGTAGGGTGACCTTGATCCCAAATTAATAAGCAGTATTGTGATATTAAAGGAAAACTGTTCCAATCATTTAAAAGTACTTGTTAAGTACTGCTTTTTACAGTTACAACAACTGTTTCTTTCTATGCATATGAATCAAGCAACCAAATATCTGTAGCCATGGAAATGTCTGACTAGAAATATTTATATTGGATTCTAAATACAAAATGTCCCTGTGGTAGCAATTTTACTTCTTATGCCTGGTGCAGTATCATTCCCACGTGTACTGTCTACCAGAAAAAAAAAAAATGAATAAAAAGTGAAATATGAAAAGTAGGTTGGTATTGATTGGTCACTCAAGGGGGAAAATCATACTCCTTGTCTTACATAGGCAGTGTTTGGTTTTTGTCCCTGGTGGTACATTTGTATGTGGTTTGAGAGGACTCAGTGGAATCTCAGGTCGTGATGTAAGAATTCAAACCTGGGCCGGCTGGTGGTGTGGCGGTTAAAGCATCAGATTCCTACATAGCTGACCACGGTTCAAGTTCTGGACCTGGTGGCTTGAGTTTTCACTCTCCCTCTCTCTCTTTCTCTGGTCAGTTGAATAATAATAATAAATAAATAAATAAAATCTTGGGAACCAGCAGTTAGCATAATGGCTATGCCGCTGGATTCCCACGTAGTCGAACGTGGTTCGAGTCCCGGACCCGGTGGCTTAGAACTCACGCCGGGCGCGTGTGCATGCGTGCCCAGGATCCTGAGAGGAGAATGGAAGAGAAGGGATTGCGGCATGACCATACCCCCTGGGGGATGATTTCTCACTTTCTGTCTCTCTGTCTCTCTCTGTCTGTCTGGTGAACGTATGTGCCCTATAGCAAAAACCTCTCAAAAATAAATAAATAAATAAATAAATAAAATCTTTATAAAGAAAACCCAAATCATGGGACCAGCAGTTAGCGTAATGGCTATGTCGCTGGACTCCCATGTAATCGACCGTGGTTCGAGTCCTGGACCCAGTGGCTTAAACTCACACCAGGCGCGTGTGCGTGCGTGCCCAAGATCCCAAGAGGAGAATGGAGGAGAAGGGATTGTGGCGTGGCCATTCCCCCTGGGGGGTGATTTCTCGCTTTCTGTCTCTCCATCTCTCTCTGTCTGGCGAGCGCACATGTCCTATAGCAAAAACCTCTCAAAAAAAAAAAAAAAAAAAGAAAACCCAAATCTTGAACTCTACTGTGTCATTGAAACAGGGATGGGTAGAATTTTGTCTCAAATAGTGCATATTTGAAAAGCAAACATATAGTTTAACAATTTTTTAAAGAGATTTTTGCTATAGGGCACATGTGCACACCAGAGAGACAGAGAGAGAGAGAGACAGATAGAAAGCAAGAAATTACCCCTCCAGGAGGGATGGCCCCACTGCAACCTCTTCTCCTCTAGGCTCCTCTTGGGATCTTGGGCACACACGTACATGCACCTCTCCTGAGTTTTAAGCTGCTGGGGCTGGGATTCGAACCCCAGTCTACTACATGGGAATTCAGTGACATCACCATTATGCCATTTACTGGTCCCTCTTTTCTTTTTAAACAGATTTTTGCTGTAGGGCTCATGTGCTTGAGACATGAGATAAGAGACAGAGAGAAAGTGAGAAATCAGCCCAAGGGATGCTCGCTCCGCAGTCCCTTCTCCTCCATTCTCCTTTTGGGATTTTGGGCATGTACACACATGTGCTGGTGTCCCTGGTGTGTTTCAAGCCTCTGGGTCCAGGACTCAAACCATGGTCGGCCATGTGGGAGCCCAACATCTTAACCAGTATGCCTCCTGCTGGCCCTGACAAATTTTTAAAAATAGGACTTATGCTGAAGATTACAGATTTTCTTTCAGTTGTCACAGGTCTGAACATGACCATTATTTGGGCTAATAAGCACAGGGACAAAATTACTTTGGGCCACTTAATTCTCATGTGTTGGGTCCCACAAATGTGTGTGTATATGTGTGTGTGTATTTTTTTTTGGAAAGGTTTTTGCTATAGGGCGCGTGCACTCACCAGAAAGACAGAGAGACAGAGAGACAGAAAGTGAGAAATCACCCCCCAGGGGGGAAGGCCATGCCCCAATCCCTTCTCCTCCATTCTCCTTTCGGGATCTTGGGCACACACACACACACCTGGCATGAGTTTAAGCCACCAGGCTCGGGACTTGAACCACAGTTGACTATATGAGAGCCCAGCAACATAGCCATTATGCCAACTGCTGGTCCCCTACAAATGTATTTTATTATCAACATTAGGTTTTTTTCCGAGGAGAAGAAATAAACTGTAGTGAATGAAGGATCTGGAACAGTTAGGGAAATGGATATACTTTTATTTATTTCACAATAGTTTTATTTTGCAGAGTTCTCTCAATTGTGTTTCTTGAATGTTACGCGAAGGATTATATTGGTTACTGTGAGCCGCCTTAGTTTTCCAGAACACCTCGTGACAGAAAGTCAGATACTGTCTTCCCTGTTTGTAGGGGAAGCTGGAGCTCTGAGGCTGTGCGTCCTGACCAGGCAGGGCACTCTTTTTCCCTTTAAGAGATGTAATTTTTTTTTTAATAGAGGTTTTTGTTATAAGGCGCGTGCGCTCGCCAGACAGACAGAGACAGACAGACAGACAGAAAGCGAGAAATCACCCCTCAGGGGGGATGGCCACGCTGCAATCCCTTCTCCTCCTTTCTCCTCTTGCGATCTTGGGCGCACATACACATGCCCGGAGTGAGTTTTAAGCCACTGGGTCCAGGATGCGAACTGCGGTTGACTACGTGGGAGTCCAGCGTCATAGCCATTACGCTAACTGCTGGTCCCCCCTTTGTGAGATGTTCTGAGATTCTCTCTCAGACAGGAAGATGAGATCACTTACTTAATGTTCATTTTTGTCCATATCTCTCAGAAAATTTGTTTTAAGATTTGACAAATGACCAACGTCCAGAACCTATGATTACCTCACTTTATCATTTTTACACTAATCCTTGAATGTTATTGATAGTTTGCTGTGTTTTTTGAAAATCAGTATACTGGTAAGAGGTTATCACTTTAGAGAATTGCCTCCTAGTTCAAACCAATTGATGGTTACTTAAAAAACAACCCGGGACCAGCAGTTGGTGTAATGGCTATGTCGCTGGACTCCCATGTGATCAACCACAGTTCGAATGGACTCAGTGGCTTAAACTCATGCCAGACATGTGTATGTGCTTGCCCAAGATCCTTAGAGAACAGAGGAGAAGGGTTTGTGGCGTGGCCCTCCCCCTGGGGGGGGGGTGATTTCTCGCTTTCTGTCTCTCTCTGTCTTTCTGGCGAGTGCACATGCCCTATCGCAAAAACCTCTCAAAAACAAAACAAAAACAACCCCAGCCAGTTATTGAGCTTGCTGAGGTCAATATAAAATAAAATGATTTGGATTGAAAACAGGTTTGGATGGGACCAGCAGATGGCGTAGTGGTTACATTGCTCTACTCCCACATAGTTGACTGAGGTTCAAGTCCTGGACCTGGCAGTTTAAAATTCATGCTAGGTGCGTGTGTGTGTGCCCAAGATCCTGAGGGGAGAATGGAGGAGAAAGGATTGTGGCATGGCCATCCCCCTGGGGGGGGGGTGATTTCTCATTTTCTGTCTCTCTGTCTCTCTGGCAAATGCATGTGCCTTATAACAAAAAATCTCTCAAACAAACAAACAGGTGTGGAAAGAATACTATTTGTTCCAAATTTCTAAAGTTCAAAACTTATAAGGTCTCGCCTTGTCCAGTTTACTGGAATTAAGTTTGCTTTTCGTAAGTGTTCTCAGATTCACCGATCACCAGCACTTTAAATGATTTTTATGTGAGTAGATGAGGACAAGTAGCCAGCTGAGATTTTTCTTTTTTTTTTTTTTTTTGTTTTTAATTTATTTTTCTTGTTACATTTTA